GACTTTAAAACAGACCCCCCCTTTTTTTTTGCCTGAAAACAAGAGATTCTAGCATAATAAGGAAGTCCTCTCATCCTTATAAAAAAGTAACTTGATGCTAATCAGTTTTTTTTTTCTATTGTTCTGTTTCCCTGATCCCACCTTATAAAACCCACCATTTTACAAGTTCCCAGTGGAATTTGAGATCAAATAAGTCCATTTATAATGATGGAATTTGAGACCAAATAAGTCCATTTACAATGATGACATAGAATGATATCAGTGCCTAAAGTTTTGGCCAATCAAAATTGAGAGGGTGGCCAAAAGGGGGGAATTGTTAGATTAAGTTTAACCTAAAGATTTCTTCAGACATAGTGAACTGTAACCTAACTTGATGTGCAAACAGACTGTGATGTACTCTTGTAACAAGTAGCTGAGTCTCAGCCAATTGTAGGAAGCCAGCTGTTCTGTACCTCACTTCTGTTTTCTGTATGTCACTTTACCTCTTTTTGTCTATAAGTTTTAGCCGACCTCGTGGCAGCCATGGCGGCATCTAAACCTGTTCTGGTTCTGGTGGCTTGTTCTTTGCTTACTTAAACTGTTAAATTTAACTTGTCTAAGTTTTTCTTTTAAACTCAAGTGACTAGCCATAGTCACTTTAAGTGGCTTACAACCAAAAAACCCTGATATATTTACATACATTCAAATTGTATGTAATCCTTGCAACTTGCAGGTGAGGTATTACATTTTCTTATAGATGAGAAAATTAATTCTCAGATGTTAAAGTATTTTATTCTTGGTGGTATACATAGGTAATAGCATAATTACAATTCAAATTTGGATTTGTATCTTTCCTATCATGTCACTACAAAAGCTTAGACGTCCTTTCTTCAGGGCTACATGTTCCTTGTGTCTAAGAGATACCAACCAAAAACACCCCTTGCAGCTCCACAACCACCCACCCATTTGCTCATTTTACATGTCAAACAAAGAATATAGGCAAGGTACACTACTTAATATGGGGAATATGGAGCTGGTTCAGCCAGTCCTTCCTTCACGTTGCTCGCATTCCTTTGACATGCTGATTTTTCAGTTTATAGACTTAAACAATATGGGAATAAGTTAAATTTAAGCAACATGGAAAAAAGCCTAGAATATAATAGTAAAGCCATATGGTTCATATAGAATAATTCCACTCAATAAATTAGAAATAGTTTACACTCAATTTAAAAGCCTTCAATGGAGTGATTCTTCACTGCAGTGACTTCTAGAGACAAAGAAAATAATTTTTTTTTCCTTTTTGTCTTTTTTACTGACCGGTAATGGGATCGCAACCCTCGGTGTC